TGCTGCCGGTCAACTAAACGAACTGTGGCTCATCCCCGGCTAATTTATAAAGGTTCTCAGCTGGGGTTGCCTCCCATTGTGTTTGGCCCGTCTCAAAGTCGTCAGCCAAAGCGCATTTTTTCTCGCCGGATGCACTGAAACCGGCATCACTTATACAACAACAGCAACGGCAACAACTACAACAACAACAACAACAACAGCTAGTAGCAACTATTTGCTTAGGCAACTAACTCATCTAAATGAATCGAGTCCAAGTCTGAGTGGCAACAGGAGCCGCTACAGCTGAAACACCAAATAACTCGAAGTCAACTGAGTAGCGGTTAATTCACTTTCAGTTAACTGTAAATTTAATCAGCTTATAGTCATCCTTAACAGTTTCATAATCAATCAGAAACTGAATGTATCAATGCATTGACTTATCAAAGAGTATGATTAGAATTCGATATATCTCTATGAATCAATCAGAAACTGAATGAATCAATGAATTGATTTGTAAAAGAGTTTAACTAAAATTCGTTATATATTTAAAAATGTCGAATCAATCACAAACTAAATAGATCAATGCATTAACTAGTCATAGAGTCTTACCAGAATTCATTATATCTTTATGACTGGAATTCGATAGATCTTTATGAATCAATCAGAAACTGAATGAATCAATTCATTGACTTATCAAAGAGTATGATTAGAATTCGATATATCTCTATGAATCAATCAGAAACTGAATGAATCAATGAATTGATTTGTAAAAGAGTTTAACTAAAATTCGTTATATATTTAAAAATGTCGAATCAATCACAAACTAAATAGATCAATGCATTAACTAGTCATAGAGTCTTACCAGAATTCATTATATCTTTATGACTGGAATTCGATAGATCTTTATGAATCAATCAGAAACTGAATGAATCAGTGAATTCATTTCTAAAACACTCTAGAGTTCGTTATATCTTTAAAAATCTCGAATCAATCACAAACTAAGTAGATCAATGCATTAAGTAGTCATAAAGTCTAACCAGGATTAATTATATCTTTATGACTTGAATCCGATATATCTTTATGAATCAATCAGAAATTGAATGAATCAATGCATTGACTAATCAAAGAGTCTAACTAGAGCTCAATATATCTTTGTATATCAGAAGCTCAATGAATTGAGTAATCAAAAACCCTAACTAGAATTCAATATATCTTTATGAATCAATCAGAAACTGAATGAATCAATGAATTGACTTCTAAAAGATTCTAATTAGAATTCCATTTATCTCTAAAAATGTCGAATCAATCAGAAACTGAATCAATGAATTAACTAGTCAAAGAGTCTAACTAGAAGACGATATATATTTCAATCTATATTCAAATCAATCATAAATCCCATTATTCAGTGCTTCACTCCACAAATAAGCTAACCTAGCAGTCAATCAATGAATCGAACAATCACTTTATCAATCACTCAGCTATTCAATATAATAATTAACTCAAGTCCATCTCTCTGCAATCAATCAGTCAATCAATCAACTTTAACTTCACTAAGTTCATCAATCAGCTAATGAACTAGACAAAGAATTGCATAAGGATTTAAGTAACATTGCAAATATTACGCATACGCCCCATTAGCAGGCATTCGTTTAGCTCAGCTTAACCGAGCAGCTCAGCTTTGCTGTAGCGCATTGCGACTATACAAATTATTCCGCAAGTAAAATCTATCATAATTAATTACATGCATTGCTTACCTGGAAAATCCCTCTGGCTCATCATTCCCAAATAGAGAACATTTTACGAATATTTGAATGCCATCTCACTGTCTCTCTCTCTCTCTATCTCTCTCTCTATCTCTCTTGCTAATTTGCAGTTAGTTAGTCTGCGGATATCTATAGAATATGCTAAATATATTCATCTTAATGTTAAACCTGCTGTCAAATTTGACAGCTACTTTGATCAGTGAAATTGAAATACTTTTGGCTCTATGTTTTCTTCTTTCTTCAGCTAGACTCACCTATCAAAAATCACTTTGCCTATCAAAATTCGACAAGTGTTGTCATCTTCATGTCAAATTTGACATTAGGGTAAATCCCAGTTGAGGAAATTAATTTAAATACATATATAGGACTTTAGCATTTCAGCATTTTAGTTGAATGAGCCATGTTTTAATTGTGGATGCATCAGCTAGTCGTTTATACCCGGCTTCAATTACAGAGATGAGCAACTATTGTTACACCTATCGCCGTCATCTTTAGGCGGGGACTTCACCTACTTGCTAATCGCAATCTAATTAAAAAAAACTCTCAAATAAAATGAGACTCCAAATAATTCCAGAAATTCCCCCCGAGAAACGCTTGAATCGGTGGCGCCCAACGGCATAATGAAATATGATGATGATCTTTAGAGTAGAGGAGGATAGATCTTGTAATACTAGGCACTTGTGCTATATGTAGGTAATACACAAATTTAAGTGCGATTATCTCGTTCCGGAAGTTTTTTATACACATAGATAGTCCATCGACAAGAGGATCTATGCATATATGTATTACAGTCCAAATAATATACCCACTTTCCGGCTGGGAAAGCCCCAACGAATGTGAGATAGAAAAACAAATTTTTAGTTTTATTTCATAAAATATATATAGGCATGTTTTTTTTTATTTATATTTTTATGACATTTTGGAATGATTATAATGTAGTACATCATATTGTATGTATGTGTGTTGCTGTCTATGGGTTATACGTGTGTGTATGTGGGTGTGGCACAGTCCACGAATTACAACTAGAATAATGTCTAACTCCATAAACTCGCTCTGTGTATGTGTGTGTATTTGATTACGTTCATTTTTTCTTGTTTTTAATTTTTTTTTTTTTTTGCATTTTGTTATGTTTCTTTTTAAATTTTTTTGTTTTCATATAAATTAATTGTATGTTATTTATTTATGATTTTCATCTTTTCAGATTTTTGGAGAGGAAAGTTTCAGTTGTTTTTTTTTTGTTTTTGTTTTTGTTTTTTTTTTTATCGCTACATAGGCACGTCAGTTCTATTTGTTGTTGTTTGCATTTGTTTTTTTTTTTTTGTGGATTGTTTTTTTTTCTTTTTCTTGCTTTGCTTATAAATAATTTTAATAATACATTTTTTTAATCATTTTTATTTTTTTTTTAATTTTGTATTGCATACAAAAAAAAATGGGCTGAAAAAAAAAATATGTTTGAACAGAAAATACTAACTATATACACATATCTATAAGTATATATACTATATATCATGTATATATAGGCGCGTGTGTGTGTGTGTGTGTTTGGAGGGGGTTTACAATTTCAAATTACAAAAATACTAAACTATCGATAGACATTTATCGATAAACACAATCTCGCTCAATTGAGAGAGCTCATTAGCTAATCTCTCTCTTCCCTCTGGTTTACTCTCCAGCTTTCTCTCTATCTCTCTCTCTCTATGTATCTATCTCTGCTCCTCATTCGATAGACCTTAGTTATAAAGAAGCTAAGCTGCAAATACAATCGCCTGGACGATCAAAAAATAAACTATATATATATATTTATATATTTTAATGGTAAATATATACTGTAAATAAATAGAATTCTCAGTATTTTGTTTTTTTGCTGTTTTGTAAGTGTTGTTGTCTTCTTCGTTTCATATCTCTTTTGTTTTTGTCTAATTGGCTAATTAAATATTGTTCGCTTGTCTTAAATGTGTGTATGTGTGGGTGTGTGTGTGTGGGGGGGGAGGGAGGTCATATGGGTATACATAATATCTAAATGTTTTAACAATTTCAACTATTGCACTCTAACATAAGATGAAAAATAATTTTAAAAAATAAATATATTTTTAAATGCTGCCTTTCTATTCGCTTCTCAGCAAAACAAAAACGAATTACATTTTTCATATATTTTGTTGTTGTTGCTCTTGTAGTTTTGTTATTGTTGTAATTGCACTTGTTATTGTTGTTGGTATTTTTTGTATTTTTTTTTTAAATTTTATCTCTTGTTTGTTTTTTTTTGTTGTTTAACTTTAGATTGTTCTTGTTTGTTGTTGTTGTGTTGTCTCTAGTTTCGCTTTCATTTGATCCAATTATGCATAATTTAATATAATAATAATAATAATGATAATAATAATAATGATATTTTACTATAAATAAAATTCAGTACTTTAATAAATTGCAAACTGCAATCTACATATATATATGTATATATGTGTATGTGTGTGTGTTTATAATGTCTTGTATATAGCCATCTTTTATGAGCTAATACCAAAAAAAAAATATATATATTTATATGTATATATTTATATAGACATATATCTACCAAAAGTTGTAAAAAAAAATAAATAAATGTTCAGTTAACATTAACCATTCACATTCACATTCACATACAGCATTGTTGCTTTAGTATGTTTGACAGTATTTAATAAATACTAGTTTATTATAATATTTTTAGTTAAATTATTAACGGCGCCAGAGTTTCAAAAGTCCAAAACGTTTTAACTAACGACTAAAACAAATTGATTAAATAAAAAAAATACCGATATTTAACAAAATAAAAAAAAAATTAAGATTATATTATATTATAATAGATATATATGCAATAAAAATAGACCAAATAGTTTTAGTTTCATGTTTTGGAATGACCGCTTTGCGTGTATGTGTGTGTGAGTGTGTGTGTGTACATGTGTGTGTGTGTGATCTCTTACATTCTAGGAATGCATAGCATATAGCTGCTATATGTGTTTCACTATAGATCTAATACAAAAAAAAGTATTTATATATATACATATACATATATATATATATATA